CTAAGAGGCGCGGTACCGAAATTCCCAGTTCCGAAAAACAGCTCCGGTTCTGGGAACCCTAGTTGGTACTAATAAATCCATGTGATTTTCAGTAAAATCATCTGCTCCTTCACTTTCGTCTTAATTTAGCCACTCTAAACCGTTGTTACTTGCGCACAGAAGTTCAGCATCTTGTGGAATGTAAACTGCGCGCTAATACTATTTTTCAATACTATTTATTAGGTATCAGTGACCACATTTTTTTGATTCCCTCACGTAATTAACGGACGCTCCCAAGAAATAAAAAATATCTATAATCGTCGCTTAAAACAAATGAAAAAACAACAGAATTGTGTTTAAAGCGCCACCCTTTAACAATATTTTCAACATTTAGTCAACATTTGAAACTGTGCTTTCAGACTGCTTTTGTGTTCCGACTAAATGTTGTGAATTGCTTGTTTGCTCGATAACTTATGCACGTTACCCGCTTCGCAAAAGTAATTTCTAAACACCATTATCTGGAAATTTTGCGTGAACCGTCAAGCAACACGAAGATAAAACTAGGAATTAAATTACGTTAAACTCGTTTACTCGAAGAACAAAAGAATTTTTTATGCTGATTTGAAAATATACTTTTTGCTTCCTTCCTTTCATTAGTCTATGATTATTGTAAACAGGTAATACAGGGTGCCTGCCTGACCAGGCTAAGTTCGGATTAGAAGTTTCTAGAGAACTAATACAAGACAACGATTATTTATATTGGAGCTTTTTTGCAGTGTGATCTCTAGACTAAACATAATAGTAGATTTTCTTTTATCTATGACTAAACATAATTTCAGTATGGCATCATTTTTGAAGTTGACAGCAACTTTCATATTTTAGATTTCTTCCTCAATTTTTTTTTCATTTATATTAGAATTTCCTGTAAACTTTCTTTCTCCATTTTTAAAATTAGTTATTTTTGAGATAAAGGTTAGGTTAGGTTGCTGGGCTTTGGGATCATGTTTGATCCCTCACTCGGAGGCCTTGGGCCCATTGTGATACCCCTGTGTTGTTGTACCCAACCTTCCTCTCATTCTTTCTCTGTGTTAACCCTTTCGCGCCGACTTTTCGCTATTAAAATATTTAACTAAATTTAAATGTATTTCGACTTTATATGATATTTTTAATAATATAGGCAAGTATCAAAATTCAACCCTTACCATTTCGGAAACTACCCCCTTGGGACATATGGGTCCCACCAGTAATTAACTGTGGGACATATATGGCTCCTTAGTAATTAAGAACACAATATATTCTTGAAAAATAAACTTTATTATTGAAAAATAGTACCTAATTATTATTGGTGAAAAATACTAAAACAATTAATGCATAATGCAATGTTGCATTCACTACAATACATTTTTGTTCGCTTTTCTTTTTTATTTTTATAGCATCGATGGCATCTTCTTCTTGTATCTCCTTGTATTGGCAGGTGATCGCCAACGTTCTTTACACTTGCCGATGATACTGATGGTCTTCCATACGGCTTCTTCCTTTTATTTTGTGCATGTTTTCTGCCTTCGGCTATAAGTTGTTCCGCTAGTGCCACGCAGAATTTTTTTAGAGTCAATGATTTAGTATTACATATTTCTTTATACAATATATGTGAATTTACAACAGTTGTTAAGAACAATTTGTAAAATACCTTTTTCCACCATTTACATGATTTTCGGTCTAAATCATATGTTCCTACCAATTGATCTGATAGGTCGACCCCTCCCATATATTTGTTATAAAATGCTATTGATGTTGGACAATTTACATTCAATTGGCTACCATCCTTTTTCTTTCTTTTCATGTTAACAATTTCTGGACGGTGACAATTGGACACGGCCAGAACTTCCTTTGTATCTTTCCATTGAGATACTAATAGACCAGACGTACTGCAGTGAAATTTATAATCCCCGCGATTTTTCAGTCCTTTTACAAGCGTGGGCAATTTTTTTCGATTGGCTATACATGTTCCCACTGCAGCGAATGGAAGATCATGTAATAATTGAACAGATGTAAAAAACCTGTCGAAACACAACATGGTATGTGGTTCACGTATTGTCGATGCCAGTTTTGTAATTACTCTTCCACCTAGCGGCTTATCTGCCATGGCGTCGGATTCTCTTCCTTGATAAATGTTGAAGTCACATACATATCCAGATACTGAATCGCACCTTTGCCAAATTGTAATCCCCCTTTTTATAGGCTTTAGGGGTAAGTATTGTTTTAAACTTGACCGTCCTTTAAATTTCGTCATCGACTCATCAATCGATTGATGGGTGCTTTCGGTCCTCGATTTTTGAAACGTATGTTTCAAGCATGAAACTAACTCTTCAATGTAGTATATTTTATTTGCATCTTTGCGTTTTTCTGGATAATTGAAATATAATTTGGAGTGAAGGAGCAAGAATCTATCCCTCGAAATTGCTGATTTTATAGCTGCATTTCCTAGAGACTTGTTTGAAACCCAGTAATCATGCATTTCGGGTAAACGATTGTAGGTCATAACTAGCATACAACCCAAAACAATCATGAGTTCTGAAGGATCAGTTTGTTGTATAATCTTATTTTTAGAATTTTGCCTCAAAATATCTAATCTTTTGTTTGTGCATTCGGCCATAAAAATAAAAAACTGCAAGACATTAGCTTTAGAAATACGTCTAATTCTGTCGAAGATCTGTTGCAGGATATAAGGGGAACGCAAACTGCACTCTGCTCAGGAATAATCTTACGTGGAACAAAGTTTATATCTTCTGGATTACACCAAGAATAATTTATGGAACAATTTTTATTTACGGCATCCGTATCCATTTGAGTAGGATTTTCATTGTTAAGTTCATTTTCACTTTCTGACGAAGTCTCGTTTAATTTAGCTGCATTATCTTGCACAGAAGTTTGGTTGTTATCTACATCAGGTTCATCTTCACTTTCTGATAAATTATCATTTAGTTTTGCGCGTTTTATTTTCTTTGAGCTCGAGTTTACTTCCTCTTCAGAATCTGAGCTGTGACTTGAGGCTTCATACTCAGACTCACTACCAGGAAACGGTTCCTCTTCCGAAACCTCCGATTCTATATCCGAAGGGTGATTTATGAGCCAATCCAACTCTTTCTCGGTCAATTTACGTTTACTGGAAAAGAACTTTTCATTACTAAAGGGTCATATATGTTCCAAGAAAGAATACGAATGGGACAAATATGTCCCATTGCATACAATTTCATAATTTTATAGAAACAAACTAGATATTTTTGTACAGATTATTACTAAAACTTACCGGGACATTGTTGAAAGTAATTTATGACTTTTTAGTTATAAATATATAAATAATATGCTTCCTGTAGCAGTAGAAAGAACTAGTATAGGTAGGATGGTACACTATAATCGCCATATGTAATGATGGAAACGAGCATGCCTCGACTACTAGAGAATAATGGCAGAATACAGGTTGATGCCGGGTGGGACACAACATATAGCAATTTAAATAGGCATTTGAGACCACTAGGACATAAAAATATTTTTATGGGACTTATATAACCCAGTAGGCGCGAAAGGGTTAAAGCACTTCCAGCTCTTTGCAAAGTTCCCGATGTCGCTGATGTTGGCTTCTGCTGCTTCCCCTAGTCCCTCCAAAAAAACATGGTCCTAAAGTTTTAAAGCGACGGTATTCCAGTGCCGGACAGCGGCACAGCAGATGCTCTATGGTTTCTTCTTCCTCTCCGCATTCTCTGCAGTAGTTGTCATTGGAAATTTTCCATCTCACGAAGTTTACCCCCGTGGGGCAGTTTTGAGTGACAACACCTACAATTATGCGTACTAGGTTATTTTTGTGTTCTAGTAGTTGTTTTGTCTTTTTACTATCTACCACTGGTCATAGTCTTCGAGCTGTAGCGGTCCTCACGGTGTTGCCACGCCTCTTGATGCTTGGCCTTGATGGCAGTTCCTATAGCTTCCTTCAGTGTGTTGATCGTCACAAGTGGGCAGTTATCTGCCACGGCCTCTCCCCTTTTTGAGATAAAAAAGATATTTAAATAATGCACTCCAGATACTTTAGAATACAGTTGAGGTTGGAACCTTTGGCGTGACCACAGCAAAATAAAACTTTACAACTATTTATTTTTAATGCTAGACGTTAGCATTATCAGTGGACTGCTTTTTTAGACAGATACTTAATCATCTGCTGATGGTTTGAGAAACTATAGCATCGTGTGTTAAAAATAGTAGCGAAGTAGTATTTTGATTGGCTACATATTGTAGTTCTCTGGAAAATTCTGATGCAAGTTTAGCGAGAGACTATCCTTTATAGTAAAAGTATTTACCGAATTATTTACACAACCTAACATTTGATAAACTGGTATTTTATATACAGTGATGAGTTATAAGTGCAAACATTTTCAGGGCTGGCAGATCTCGATAAAAGAAACATTTTCTCTTCGCCGTTTTTCATAAAAAAAATTTTCATTAAAAGTTCAAAATGACTGAGATATTTTTCTTTGAAAATGAAAAAAAAAGTTTCCGCTTGAATTTTGGGAACCACTGGATCTTTTCTCCTTTATCTTCATCCCTTCAAAAAATTTAAGATCTTTCATGCCTTCAAAAAAATTAATCTGGTATCTTGTCATCTGTTGGTAAAATTAATCTGGTTGCCATGTTATGATGATATGTTTTTTAACGAAAAATTAAAACAAATTCTAAAAAAATTTTCAAAAAATTCCAAATTAAAAAAAAAATTATCGCGAAAAAACCTCATAGACGTGTTTCTGGGATCGAAATATACTACCCCTTTGCTTAAAATTATTTGCTTTTATTTAAGACTCATCCTGTATAATTGAATAGTAGATTGGACATAAGTAATACATTTTTTGTTTTCAAACACTTAAAATGCATTGTGTAACAACTACATATTATTAATATCCTGTTTTAGTAGTTAGTCTTATTTTAAGTTCAAAATTTTAATTACTTAATATTAAACTACTTTTGTTTTATTACAGGCTGTCAAACTGGAAAGCGTCCATCCATCTAGAACGCGATATTTGGTGGTTGCCTCAAGGCAGGGTAGTGCAGGAGAGGAATGTTGCCTGTTGGGTATCGACTGTAATGAGCAGACTACCGTGGGATTAGTCCTTCGGATTTTAGCCAACACCAGCATTAGGCTTGATGGAGATGGGTAGGTTTCACTAGAGACGATTACTTTTTTTTGTTCCTAAAAATAATTAGAAACTAATGGTGCAACATTGATATATTATAATCAAGCTTGCTTTGTAAGATGACAGATAACTGACAAAGTTAAAACCAGCTTGATCATATTTTAGTTACTAAAAAGTGTAAAAATATGATCTGGTGAATCACCCCCCAAAATGTTTTACTTTTGTATTTAATCATTAGATCACATCATAAAAGTATTTTAATGCCAACTGTTTTATTCTCAAAACTAGATTTTGTTTAAAAAGTTTCTTTAGTCGTTTAAGGTTTTATTCGTACAGATACATTATATGCGTGTTTTAGTACCTTTAAAGTTAATTTATCTATTTAGAAATCCAGGACAGACACTTAAGTTTATAGTTTATTTTATATCTAGAGATTTCTCGCCCTAGCCTATATAAAAAACCTGTAATAAATACTTTTTGGGCGGGTTAGTTACTGCAAAACAAGATTTATCGCTTTAGAAACAGAAAACTAATTAATGACAATCATAGACTAATGTCATGTACTAGAGATAGATGGAACACTGATATAAAACAAATAAGTCCGTCATTTAAAGCCACCTGGTGATCTGGAAGAAACTAATGGAGAGTTTTGGCATAACATAATTTTAGCGTTCCGTTACTTACTAACGCCAACTAAAATGGTAACGTTATACAAGAGCAAAGTTATTCCTTGTAAAATATTAAATAATAAGTATAGACTTTTTTACTACATTTTATGTTTTATTAGACCATTAAAAGTGTAACAAAGTCAAAAATTAAATTATTAATATATATTTTACGGTTAAAGTCCGATGTCCGGTTAATGTCGACATTAACAGGTTAATGTTTGAGTTAGGTTATGTTTTTGGTTGTTTTGTTGAATGTTATTCTCGAGATTAACCGGGTAATGTCGACATTAACTGAATATTGGACCTTAACCGTAACATATACATTTTAATCACCAACAATAGGGCTTATAGCGCGTTTTTTTTTGAATTAACAAATAAATTATAATACAGTAAAAAGATTATGGACTATTAATTAACTGTTACTAAAAATACTACACCGGATGCGTCTCAAAAGTGGATCACCCCTATAACTTTTTACTTTTTTATTTTTTCAGATAAAAACACAAGATTTGGTATATTATTATATGTTACATAAATTAGGATTGATTGACATATCCAATTGTTTTTGGTCACTTCCTGTTTCACCGGAAATGACTACAACTTTTGATTTTAAATGGCACCCTCGGTATATTTCTACTTTATTCGATAGAAAATGACAATCTGAATAGAATGACATATCATATGTCTACTTTTGATCTTTTCGCATATGGTTTATTTGAAATTGTAGCATGCAATACCGAGTGTGTGGTCCCAAATTATTCGTAAAAAAATGCTTTTTCCAAATATGCTAATAAGTCACCCTTGTTCCATTTGAAAAAATTGAGATATGATTAAAAATAAGATTTGGGCATCTTTTAACCGGCCAGGATAAGAAACGAGAAACATTAGACGCTGACTATTTTTCCAAGGCTCTTTGATTAAAAATTAGTATTTATAAGACAACCACGGCACTCTAGATTGACATTTAAAATACGATTTGTTTTTAAGCAAAAATGTTAATAGTTGACATATGATATGTCATTCTATTCAGGGTGTCATTTTCTATCGAATAAAGTTGAAATATACCGGTGCCATTTAAAAGTCAAAAGTTGTAGTCATTTCAGGTGAAACAAGAAGTGACCAAAAACAATTGAATACGTCAACCAAGCCAAGAGTCTTTTAAGAGTTATGGTATATATTTCTCATCAAGAGTAAAAAAACTATTTAATGCATCCATAATTAAGGTGAAAATTTCTAACAGATGTGTTTAATCCGTTGACGTTCTGATAGACCAGCAGATTTCAAACCTTCAGCGGGAATTAAAATTAATAAATACAATCGAAGAATATTTCTTCGCGATCGAAGACTGCACGGCGCCGCAACAAGAACTGCTTCTATAAGAAGACGATGTCGTAAATGTAAATCAACACCCAATCGAGTGAATATTAACAACAGACTTTACAGTTATTTCAATGACCGCATTAGGTGTGGCGTTATAGCTCGATTAAATCTTATTTTATTGGGATTATTCCTATATACAGTGTACGTCAAGAAAGGATATACATATATTCTTGATTTATTAAATGAAAGTTCCTAGTAGTTAAATGTTCAATTTTATTAGTATTTAAAACTGTTTAAACTTAAATCTTCATGACTTGATCATTTGTTCCAATATCATGTAGCATAGTTAAGGAAAACTTAAAAAAAAGGAAATAAAAATGAATTAAGTGAAACATCTTAAAATAAATGTTACAGATCTTAGATTAAAATATAAATAATGAACCTAAAAAAGACTTCGTTCGCGTAGAATTAATCATTTGTAATGGTGATGATAAAGCAAAGCAAGAATTTCCATTAACATATAAACTGGATAAAATTTTCTCACATTTATCAGCATGAGAAAAAACAATAGGGCGATATTATTATATAACTTGGTAATATTTGAGGGGTAGTTTCATCTCGTTAGAATTTGACTTTCGAAAAATCCGTTTGACAAAAATAAGCTTTTTACGTCAAACAGTTTAAGCAGAATTGTGGTTAAGAAATTACCCAACTTTTTGGGAGTCAGCATGAGAAAAAACAATATGGCGATATTATTATATAACTTGGTAATATTTGAGGGGTAGTTTCATCTCGTTGGAATTTGACTTTCGAAAAATCCGTTTGCCAAATATAAGCTTTTTACGTCAAACAGTTTAAGCAGAATCGTTATTTATTAATTACCCAACTTTTTGGAACACCCTATATGATTTTTTAAAAAATTTCAAAATATGTAAAAAAACCAAATAAATTATGCTTGTCCAAGCGTTTTCCCGAAAGACTAACCGTTTTTTAAATAACAAATATTGTAATATTTGAGGGGCGTTTTCACCCTCTTGGAATTTGAGATTCGAGAAACCCCTCCTTATCGAACCTCTACACCTCACAGTCAATCCGTTTGCCAAAAATCAGCTTTAAACGTCAAGCAGTTTAAGCAGAATCCTGATAACTCGATGGTCATATTTTATGAAACACCCTGTATAAATTTCTAAAAAATCTTAAAATATGTAAAACAACAAAATAAAATATACGTGTTTACGAGTTTTGCGAAAAACTCACTGGTTTTTAAATAAAAAATATTCTAATATTTGAGGGGTGGTTTCACCCCCTTAGAATTCGAGTTTCGAAAAATCCCTTCTTATCGAACCTCTGCACCCTAAAGTCAATCTTCCAAAAATCAGCTTTTTACGTCAAGCGCTTTAAGCAGAATCGTGATTACTCAATGACCAGATTTTTTGAAACACCCTGTATACATTTTTTAAAAATCTAAAAATAGGTAAAAAAACAAAATAAAATATACGTGTTTAAGGGTTTTTTAGGAAACTTGACCGTTTTTTAAATAAAAAATATTGTAATATTTGAGGGGTGGTTTCACCCTCTTGGAACTGGAATTTCGAAAAATCCCTTCTTATCGAACCTCTACACCCTAGAATCAACCTGTTTGCCAAAACTGAGCTTCTTACGTTGAGTGGTTTGAGCAGGATCGTGATTAGTATAGATATCCTCCTATAGCGCTAATATCGATCCAACCCCCATGGATTAATCGACGTTTACCGACGATACTCGAAATGAAACTCTGTAAACAAAGATTTTTTTAACAATGATTTAGCACATTCAACGTACTTACATTTCCATTAAAATTGACATAAAAATACTGTTGTTGCAAAAACAGCCAGTTTCAAATAATATTAATTTAAACATTGATTTTGAAAATTATTTACTATTTCTTAAAATAACTTTATTTTATCACTAAACTTTTATATCTATAGTTTAAATTTTCAATTTATTCAAGAAGGTGAATGTTCTTTTCTAAATCCCAAAGACATATATTAGTTCTAGATTATACAAATAAAATAAAATTTTATAATCATTATTTAATTAAATTATTATGAAAATATACAGATATTGCTGGTTATATCCTTTCCATTTTTAGAATTAAAATAAAAATTTAAAATATTTATAAATGCTATTTGATATGAAACTTTTTATTATATTTTTATTTAAATTAACTTGATATATTTCCACATTCTTCTGAATATGTTTTTAGCAGATTTTATATAGGTACGGGTTTTAAAATATTATATCTTTTTGTTGAATTATTTGAATCGTGGAGATTATATCTAAAATAATATTTTTTGTTGCTCTGTTCATTTCACAGATATCCGTAACATATAAGCCTTTTCATACAACTTATTATTTCATTGATTTCAGTATTAACTTTTAACTTTCTAAAAGCACACTGATTTATGGATTTTAAAGACTCTAGTTATTTTAATCTCATAACAAAATGATTACATTCGAAGTTGGAACATTTGGCTTTCCAACAGTAAAATAAAACACTATTTTAGTTTACTACAATTCACCAAAACATACTTTACAAAATCTACAAAACTCTGGAAACGTGTTTTTCTAGATAACCATGTTTAACAATAGCCGCCCATATACGCAAGGGATTTTTTTTGTCTCGATTATTATGTTTTCTTACCAGATTCGTGGCGGTGCAGAGCGCCGACTTCGTTTCACGATCGGTCGATCTCTGCGTATCGTTATTTTATATCTGTTATTTTTTAAAAGTATTAACGGTTGCGTTATGTTATTTCTAAATAATTGTTATAAAATAACAGATAGTTAAATAACAACCCATCACTAGTATCTTGTATGTGTCGCTATTGTTGTGAACATTTTAAAATAAAATGTGTTGTTGTATTATGGTGAACTAACGTTCTATTTTGACATTTTTTCGAAAAATACAGGATTATTTTCTTGCAAACTGTTGAATATTAAAAAAATCTCTGTGAAATGTAATAGAATAGAAAGCATAGTTGTGAAATTGT